TCCGACTTGCAATCACCATGTGCAAAAAAGCGCCCGGCTTTATTGGAAGAGAGCACAGTTATCCGGAGTAATTGCGAGTAACGACGTTAATATCGGTTGGTTGCTCCTGCTTTGTATGTCATTGGAAACGAGAACGTAGCATTTGCTTTGCTAACTTGCCACGGGCCTGATCTTAACACTAGCCGTCAAATGACCGGTTTCAAAATTTAATTACAAATTATACATTTATTGTTACTTCTTTTGTTCGTCTAACTTTGTGTAAATTCTTAGATTATCTGATTGATGAATTTCTCAATTTTTGTTTTTTTTTTTTTGCTTCTTTCTTTACTGATAGAAATTCATCACCTGATTTTTTTATCGAGTTATATCTTTTTATATGATGATGATTTATATCTTTTTCTCTGCTTGGGATCTTAGCTTTGGTCTCAACTATGTTTAGTTTATCGTGAGCAGCCGAATAAAACAAAACGGACAACATTAGTCGGAACTATTCGGAGTAACGGAAGAGAATTGGCCAAACTGGCGAAATCAACAAACGAGACAAAATGGAACGTTGCTCGACAGTAATTTATAAATTAAATAATTGTACTCTGACAATTTATAAATCCAAATCAAGTAAAAAAAGTTAATACTAAGCTCGAAGCATAAATGTGTAAAAATCAATAACAATAGAAAGCGAATATTTGAGACACAGTTGCGTATTATAATGAAACCAAATTCAGCGTCGATGTAACCGATCAAATGGCGAGAAAGTACAGTGTCAAATCCAAACTCTATAGAAGAGTGCAATTCTGTACAAGTTTTTTTCAACATCCTTAATTTGGCTGGTATCAATGCATGGGTCCTTTATAAGGACAAAATATATCAAGACAACAATTTCTACTACAATTAGCAGAAAAGCTTGCCAAAGACTACCACGAATTTCTCCAAGAAGAAAAGGAAAACATACAAGGGACATCAAATGAGCAATGTAATATTTGCGGAAATCGCAGATACGATTTTGCAAAGATAATAAAACAATTAAATCTTGTGTGATTTGTAAAACATATATCTGCCGCAAATGTATGAAGGAGAAGCCTATCATCTGCAATTAAGAAAACAAAAATATCCTTCATTTATTTCTAAATGAAGCAAACGCTGCCTCTATGTTCTTCTGTTTAGGTTATGTTCTGTTATATTTACGTTCTGTTTATGATAAATATGAAAATGAAAATAATATGATTGGTTATCGTATTATTTAAAAGTTACGTTGACAATTCCTTCCGGTCATTTGCAAATGTTATTAGCAAATTCGAAATTTCTCTTGAAGCGTGCTTGAACGTACATTTTGCTGATGATACGCTCGATTGATTAATATTAGAAATATTAGATCACATTGATCAACTTCACACTTTTACCCAAGTTGTCAAATTCCCAAGAAACGAACTTATTTTTGGCACAAATAGTGGTAAATTATTGCCATTTTTGCCATTTTTACCATTTTTGCCATTTTTACCATTTTTACCATTATTGCCATTTTTATCATTTTTATCATTTTTCTTTTCCAAAAGGAATTTACAAAAGTCGCCAACTTTTTCCACTTTGAACATGGAATGCCACTTGATTAATACCACTTCTGAAGAGTTGAAATACGTACGAGTAAGAATGCCCATAGGCTAGCGTCACGAAATCGGATTAAAAAAAGGGGGGTAACGATGGTCGGGTAACGAAGCAAAATCCCAATCAGTTAATATGATACTACTAGCATGAAAAAAGAACCTGATCGTGGCCTCTGCGTTTTGAATCTTGAATAATATACGACCAGATAAGGCAAAGCGCAAAATTTGTTTAAGTGTTATCATTCTCACTGGCTCGAATCCGTTCCATCGGTATCTGGTTCCCTGTCCTCTGTTGTCGTGCCAAAATGTGTTCCTTCCAGGCCATTATTTTCAACGATATCGGCCGTTTTTAACGGGAATCCGTCTTCTCGTGCATCTGCAGTTCGCGTGTCGTTGTTTTATCCTTTCTCTTTCACTCTCTTTTTCGCCTGGCTCTCTCAGTGTTTTCTCGTTCTGAATTCAACGATCGTGATCGAGGGTTTTTCACGCTGACTGAAATTAGTCTTCCTATTGAGAATTTGAGATTTTTATCGACGATCAATCAGAGACTATTTTGAACCCTCGTAGATACGAACAATTGTTCGTGTAGTTCAAACGTATGTGTGTGTAGTATACGGTCCGTGTTTTTACGAGGAAGTGTAAAGCGTGCTTTTGCTCCATTCAGCAATTCCAAAGAACGTTCTTCCAGGATGTGGTTTTCATCGCCGTTTTTATTCGAGAAACATGTTCAACATAGTAAACAGCCGGTTTGCTCAATGCAAAAGCTGTCGTGTGTGGCCGCACGAATTAGACGATTCGTTACATCTCCTGGTGGTTTTTCAGATGTATGAAGTGAAAATTTGTTTATTCTTTTTTTTCCCATTCTTTGGCATCATACATCCAAAAGCAAAATTCAATGATATAAATTGAGTAAAAAATCTATCGAAGAATGTTACACTATTTCTTACAGAGTTAAGCAGAAAATTATTTCAAGACTTCAATTTATATCAGATATAATTGCATGATTTTTTT